GGTTCTCCGTAAAGGAGGCTCTTTCCCGGGGGTTTGGGGGCCCTGCTGCGCTCTGGGCGGGTGGGTGGTGTGGTGGGGTGGGTTTGTTGGGGTTTTTTTTGGTTTTTTTTTTTTTGGTTTTTTTGTAGGAAGTGGAGGAGTTGTCTCTAAAATTAAATGAGAAGCTGCAAAAATGGAGTTTTTCATGACTCTGGAAACGGCTGATGCCGTTACTCTCTGGGGATGCTGGTTCCTGTTTGCAGGTATATGGGAAGCTGGGCTTCGTCCCGGTGCTGGTACCACCGTATCAAACGCACAGCGGTGTTGTATTGAATGCTGTATATATTTAGCTTCATGACTTTCATCTGAACAGCCTAAGAATGAAGAAGCTTTCATAGATGAAAACCGTTTAGGAAGATCCAGCCCGCGTCTGCCACATTTCAAGTGCTGTGCACGTTCTCATAGTTTTATTCATCCATTACTGAATACAAAACCATCTCTTTCACATCGTTTTATACGAATATTTGAAACCAAAGCAAGGTGGAAGAGGGAAAACTGATTCATAGAACTATAAAAATGAAGTGGTGTCATTTCCTATCACATGTCATCGAAGAACTTTTTTTTTTTTTTTCCATCTTTTAAGTAGGAGTCAGGTGTCACACGGGCTTGAGCGGTGTCAGCCCTTTTCTTTCATGTCAGGACTGCAATAGCGATGAAAGAAAAAAATAAAAAAGAAAAAAGATCCTGCAGAGCTGGAACGCGCTACCTTGAAGCTGCAGGCAACCACAGTGAGCTGGCTGTGGTCTGCTTGGCTGGCTGATGCCTACCTTCTGGAAAAGCAGGGAAGGCAGTGGCTGCTAGAAATGCTGCCACTGCGTGAACCCCATTTGTACGTTCGGTTTAGAGGAATCATGCAGATTGAAGGGTATTTGGAAGTTAGTTATGGAAACCTTTACGTGCCTTTCCTAGATATTGTACCCAGGAAATATGTGCCGTGGAAAAATATAACTGGAAGTATTACTGGTAGAGCTCACATACTGCATATGCTCAACATGGTATTTATCTACAAGATTTTGCATACAG